TCTGCATGTTCTGAACGTGGCATAATCTTATAGCAAGACCGTTATGGTCGAATTAGTATAAATAGAAGTCTTAGTATTAGGATTTCGTGTGTCATATCTATTGTACTAAATACTCAGTAACATTCAAATTATCACATGGCAAGGGAAACGAATGCAAGAGCAATGTACGTATGATAGCACCACATGTTTATGATTTAATGAAAACCTTTTATCATTTCCAGCACTTTCCTTTATCTTTCTGCCAAATACCATTTACAAGTTTTCTCATTCAAAGTCTTTTTATTTCAAAATCTCTTCACTAAAGCCTTACATTTCAATGCTTTCTTTACATTTCAAGCACTTTACATTTCAGAAAACTGTCATACTTTTCATGCCTTTATCTTCAAGTTTTGTCTTTCGAAAGCCTATTTTTACTTAAAGTCATTTACAGATTTCTTGCATTAAACGCTTTCTTCATATTTCGAATCTTTTACGTTCCAGAGCATCTTTTACATTAACTGTTTTTATAATTCGAAGCCATTTACTTGCCTTTTATGCAATTTTACATGTCTTTACAATTAACATTTATTCATACAAGTTAGTTTCGCGCACATACATTTTGATTACATCTTTGGATCTGTAAAGGAGAAATCGAAATAAGTCAAACACCTACACAACACTCAAATACTAACCATGAATATCTGTTCGATCATGAGAGTTACCCTAATGACCAAGGAATCCTAGGATCAATCTAGTCGATCCTGTGAGTTACCAGAGAAATTGAATAATAGTCAGTAAGTTTATTCGATAGTTTGGAAGACTAGCGGTTGTTTACCAGAAATCACTGGAAACACATACATAAAACAAATACAAAATATTTTTGCATAAATACATTTTATTTGCATATTTAAATATTTGTATATTTATTTATCTTGTACAATAATTCAATTGGGTTGTAATAGTATTTTAGGGTTTTATTTTGTGCAAATATCCCCATTCAAAAACTTGTATCCCCCCTCCTATAATAATTGTTATAATAGCTTAGTTTACTTTACGCAATTTATCGCATTTATACCATGTGTAGTAAATTAGGGTTTTGTATGATAAGACTAAAAACAAACAAATAGAATGACCTAATCCAAGACAATCAAAGGCGTGTAAAATGACACACCTTGCACACAAGCACCCTTAGGGTTTCACCCACTTGGTTGCCTAAAAGAAAATGGACATGGTATGCATGCAAAGTATCTTGGCAAAACAAAACAAACAAAAGATCATAGTCCCTCGATGACGCTATCAAAATATTGCCTAAAAACAAATGATCTTGGTCCCTCAAAACTTACTAAGATACTTGGCAATATTGCTATCATGGTCATACGATGACCCACGCCCATCCCATTTAACATCCAAAGATAGGGTTATTTACCAAAGCAATGGTAAATCAACAATGTCAAAGGAATAAAAATGTACAAGTAAGACTTTTGAGTAGGTAGATAGCTTCTAGTTACTTGATCAACTTCAAAACAATCCTTGCTAATTTTTAAACACACACAATTTCAAAACATTTCCAAACAACTTTCAAAATCTTGAAACATTTTTTAAAAGACAAACATCTTTGTATACATTCTTACGAACGAGAATCATTACAAAGATTGCCTAAACGATGGCCTCTTTTCAAAATATTTTCAAAACCACACAAAGCACCATTTCAAACAATTTCAAAAGCAAAAGCAAGTGATCTAAACAAGTAACTAAGAGCCCATGGAAAACCATGGATGAAAAGGGTGCTAGCACCTTCCCTTTTCATAATCTACCCCCCGAACTCAAGAAAACATCTCAAAGGTCTTTCCTGTGCTTTTTTACCTTTCCTTTTGGATAAAAGAAAAGTTGGTGGCGACTCTTGCTAACCGCAACATTTGCGAACACAAACGCAAAAACTCAAGTCAGTTCTCCCACCGCATCACAATGAGCATGTATAATGATATTTAAGCAAGGTAACAAATGACGTCATGAAAACTTGCCACATTATCGCTCAGTTTTGGAATAACCAAGTGCTAAAGTGTGATTCACATGGGTTTGATCCCCATAAGCTGCATTTTTATCATTTCAAAACTCGATGGCGCGCCCCATATTTCCTCTCGGTTATTTGAGAATACGAGGTAATATAGAAGCATTATTGCCTCGATTTATAATAATAACTGAGGGGGGAAAACATTGTTATTTAATGTTTTTCTCTATATTTTGCTTTGAAACTATTACAAAGCCGTATTTTGGCCATTTGTGACACTGAAACATTGTACCTTTTGCCTATTTCTCAAACAGAAACATTATACCAAAAATATTTATTGTTTACACCATTTGCAAAGTCAAAATGACACATGTACACCTTATAAATTTATAACAAATTAAAACTAAAAAAATAATTAACCAACAAAATCAACAACCAAAATGCAAAGTCTTGTAGGCCGTCTAAAAGTTCTTTTCTATGATTTGTCACCTATCGTTGAACACTTATAATTTGAACCACATTTGAAATCAATTAAGATCATCATCAACAACAACATTAAATGTTTAGTAAAAAGAATATACAAAAATAAATGAATAAAATATATTATAAATGATATAAAACATTTACTTATTATTTTTCCCATATCCCCTCTTGATGATCATGACGAATAAGATGCACATCATCATCTGAATCATTTTCTTCAGATGAGAGATGTACATGTGTAGCGAAATAAGGTGTATCAAAATTTAAATATTGATTTTCATCACCATCAAGAATATATTTTCCTTGTAGAACAAATGACCATCTTGTGTTAGAAGGATTAGTGACATAAAAAACTTGTTTTGCTTGGGATGTCAAGATAAATGGTTTGATCATATAAATCGCCTTTCAAAAATCAACCCGTATAAATCCTAATTCATCTGTTTCAACACTAGTGTTACTCTCAACCAACTTGCACTTAAATAAATGCACTTTAAAAACAATATAATCAATCTCCAAAGTCTTCTCAATGACCCCAAAGTACGCCTAAATTCCAGTACACGATTCTTATCTTTCAAACTAGATAAGTACATGGATTCAACTTTAACCATAACCCCACTATTTTGTACGGTGCTACAATCATACTTTGATTTTGTAACAAATGAATAATTAGTAATGTCGTATGCACTCTAAGTTATTACATTAAACTTAGACATACATGACATCTATTTAATTGTCTCTGATGCACTACTCTCTTTAGAAATCCTTTCAGATTCTAAGTAAGAGTAATTAGCAGCAGGAAAATTTAAAGCACAAAAGCAACAAATAAAAGCACACCTAGAAATTATCCTGATTCCTCTATAACGAGATTAATGCAGTCTCCTTGTCCCACAAGAGCTTCTCGCTATAATCAGAATCTAATTACAAACTGCTTAGACAAACCACTCCAAGACTTCTTCGCTCAATACACTTGAAAGAGACTTCGTTGCTCAATCAAACCTGAAAGAGACTTCCTTGACTAAACACACCAATTCATATCTTCCTTGCTCAATCACACTTGAAAGATACTTTCTTGCCTAAACACATCAGTTCAGGACTTCCTTGCTCAATCACACTTGAAAGAGACTTCCTTGCCTAAACCCATAAGTTCAGGACTTCCTTACTCAATCACACCTGAAAGAGACTTCCTTTCCTAAACACACCAATTCAAAACTTCCTTGCTCAATCACACCTGAAAGAGACTTCCTTGCCTAAACACACCAGTTCAAGACTTCCTCGCTCAATCACACCTGAAAGAGACTTCCTTGCCTAAACACACAAGTTCTGGACTTTACAAATTCTAAACAAAATATTTAGGATTACAACAAGATGTACTTGATATACAATCATAGGTACAAATAGTATAGCACAAGCAAAGACCTTGTCACTTGAGATTTCTAAGATATACAAGAGTAAGGAATCTCAAGACTATGTGCAATACATCAATTACGTACAAACACTTAGAGAGCGAAATAATCAGTGTCCTTTGTTATGATATCTTGTTGTATATTGATGTATCTTCCTTTGAATCTCCAGCTCCTTATATAGAGGGAACAAAAGAGATATTGGAGGATAACTTGCATAAGTGTCTTTGTTGAAGAAGAATTTTCCAAGAGAGAGAGAGAGAGAGAGAGAGAGACGAAGGAGTTGGTATAGTTAAGATCTTCAACTTCTGAATAAACTCTTTGTCCATCGTGTCTTTCTCGAGTAAGGCTACCATAAGCACACTGGAGTAAACTAAAGAAATCATGTCAAACAGTATTGAGCCTTGCGCTAGAACACCTAGTTGACTTTCTCCATAATCTGACAGTTGACAAGACGGAGCTGCTTTACACAAAGTTCGAACCAGAGGCGTTGTACTATGTGTTCAGCTTATCAAAAGCTAAGTCACCAGACATTGAGGTTCTATAGTAAAATTAGTTTCTAATCCATTAGAATCTGAGAAAAATGATTCTTTTTCATAAGTTTATTTAAATGAGTCAGAACCAAGTTTATTATAAACCTAATGATCTTGCGCACTTAAACAAATGTTAGTATACTCTATTGTTCTTTAAATATTTTGTTATCATCAAAATTCAAGAAATATGAATATATTTTATTCCAACACAATTTTCTACTCTAACAGTTTGTTAAGGATACAAGATCCGATACATGATTTAAAATTTTGAACTAGCAAGTTATTGAATTAGTGAAAATTCTAGAATCTAAACGAACAACTCTGTACTCTGAATATCATACACACTTTGAACCAATAGAAAATAAAAAAACATATTTACAAGCAAAATCTACATTTGAAAGCATCAAATTTAATCCTAAAAGAATCTTATCTAAATCAATTCTGATTCAAGACTCTAAATTCTCGACGTTCTGAAGATCAACTGGTCGAACTTCAAATTAATTCCCCTCTTTATTACATTTCGATCAAGCTATTTAGAAAACCAAAACAGAAATAAAACCAACTGCCAGAAAAACTTCAAACCATAAACTTAGTATCATGTCGCTTCAAATTCAATCACACTCACTACGAACTTTCAACTTCACCAAAATACAACCCCATTCATCTTCACGCACCACCCCATTCTCCATTCGTGCAACCACCTCACCACCGCCGTCAATCTCCGTCCAGTCTTCACCCAATCTGCCGACTCATTCACCATCCCTTCTCACAACCACACCGCCGGCCGAAATCGCAGTGTTTCGCCCCACCCCAGAATTGGGACTCATCTCTCACTTGTTCGTTTTCTCCATGGTACCACAAAAGTTTCTTCTTTTACTATTTTTTTTGTTTTTTTTTTTGGTTTCTGGGTAGTGAAATTGATTTTTTTTTTCACGATCAAATAAACCAAACCCTAATTTTGCGGTTTCTGATTTTGTAGGTTTTTGGTGCATTTTTCTCTGTGGCTTTAATTTCGATTCCAACGTTAATTGTAGGTTTTTGTGTTGTGAATTTCAATTGATTTGTTGAATGGTGGTTATAATCTAGAACTAATTATTGGTGTTTATTTGTTGCATAGGCTTTTGGAAGATTAGGAGATTCTGTTAAGAAATTGTCTAAGGTTTGTTCTGAAGAGCTACCTGGAACTTTAACTTCTCTCAAGCTTTCTAGTTTGGAGCTAAGTGATTTGACCCAACAATTAAGCACTTTCAGGTAACACTCCATTCCTTATCATGGTTTTAAATTGCGGTTGTGAGTGTTGAGATTGCGGTTGCTACGATGCGTAATGCGGTCGTTATGGCGTGAATTTTGATTAAGAGGAGTTCTAACTATAAAGTTGAAAAACATTTAATATTAAGATTTTTCATTACTTCATAAGTAAATTTAGTCTCTGGGGTTCTGAAATTATGCATTTTTGATGAAAATACTTAAAAGAAACAAGGACGAAATTATTTGATGGAGTTCCTAATGCGGTCGGGCGTGTGATTTTAAAATCACAGTGTAATTGCGGTCTGATGTGGTTGCGGAGGCTACCACATTAGCAATATCGCAGCCGCAATTTAAAACCATGTTCCTTATAACACTCCAGCAATTCTGCGGCGGCAATAGCGATTGTGTAGCACAATTTAAAACCATGGTACTAGTGTCTATGTCTCAGGGTTGTGTTTGTGTCTATGTTGATGCTTCATAGGTTATGATATCTGCTGCCTTTGGTTGGTTTTTTTTAGAATGTTAGTCTACCTCTGATCAGGTTGTGTAAAAAATAATTAGGCGTAAAATTTCCGGTTTTGCTATTGGAAAGAAGAATGGAAGTGGTATCAGATCAAGATCCTTTAGCAAGAAGAACCCCGCTTCCTAAAAATGCGAAAAATGATTAGGTGTGTATTTTGTGAGCATTTTTGTTTCTAGAATTATGCTTGCATGTTTGAATGGTAATTGCTGGTGTGTGTATATCCTTGTCAATATTCATATGCATTTAAGTTACAAGCTTTGTATAGAAGTTCGATCTTTGTAAATCGTTGCTACTTTTCAGGTTTGGAACTGCCTTTGCAAAACAGTGAGAAAATTTGCTCTATGAAGGTTCTATGTTGGATCCTGAGGAGCGGTAAAATTATTGGCACTGAGTTTTTGGATTCAGCTAACATGTGGTATGGACCATTTTATGAACCATGCTTCCAATCAGATTTTCCCCTTTCACACAATTAGAACAACCATGGTTGTTGGATTGATTTAGATTGGTTCAAATTTGGTAATTTTTATTTAAAAAAAAATAAATTATATCGAAAGTTGGATTGTCCGATCACGATTCAACGGCTACGGTTGTCTTGAGTGACTGACTGCAGCAAAAATATTATTGCAGGCAATCCGCTTTTCCGTTCTTGCAATAGATATTGTATTTATATGTTAATTAAGTCTAGTGTGTTTATCCATGAGGTGTTAAATCTCATAAAAGACAGTTGTAAGATGATCAATAGTGTCACAATTTTGAATAATAATTAGAAAAATTCTACTCTGCCTTTGCAATATGCTACAAAGTCTATTAATCAACTAGGGTTTGTCTAGTGGCGAGAAGCTTGGATAGTATCAAGCATTCTTAAATTGCGGTTATGGTTGCGGCTACAGCGACTTCAAGCATTGCGATTGTTGCTACGTGGATTTAGTTTTTATTAGGATCAAACATTATAATTTATTTCTTATCTTATTATTCAAATATCTTCTATTTTCTTTCTAAAATTTTATATCCATCTCATTATCAACTCTCAATCAGTTTAAAATATCTCAAACTCTTTAAATTCTCTCTAACTCTGTGTTGTCGATGGCGGATGGCTGACGGAGAGCCAAAATCCAACCATACCAGCCACTTTGCGGCGCCGTTATAGCGGATTATGGCGGAAAAACCGGCAATATTGGCTGATATTTACCATTGCGGAAAAACCCAAAAATTGCCATGTATATCAGTCATAGCGGCCATGGCGCCGCTATTTGATAACACTGCTCTAAATCAATGATGTAAAGAGAAAGATAGAAAGTATTTATGGTGGTGTTGGCTCTTGAATTCGACACCTACTATATATTGGCCCCATAGACTAAAAACAGAGCAGATAAAGCCAAGCTGGAAAATGCTTCGACGGATGGAAAAAACTTAGAGAAAATATCTAAGTTACAAATTGGTCTTCGATCAGACATCACCATCAAACCTTCGACGGAAAAGGTCCTGTGGCTTTCGACTAGAAGATCAAACTTTCGTGTCAGCACCAAAGGCGAATGATATTTGAATTTGAAGTTTGGAGGGAAATGCAGTTCGCCAGCAGTTAAGAGAAAGCGACGTGTGTTTAACCTATTGTGCTAGTTACTCAATATTATTCAAGTACCCGCTGTGTGTGAAAGAATAACTGAGAATGTACGTTGGAAACACCATTTTTTATTAATACATTGCTTTGAACTTCTTTTGCAAAGTTTACATTTTCTACATCTTTACTTGCACTTCTAGTTACTTTCTTACTTTCCAAAACCATAAACACCATATCCTTGGTCAACATGCGTTCTTCCTAGATATCAACTTTCACATCAAACTAACATAAAAATTAGCATATGTTCTGGGATCAATCTGATCGATCCCGCGAGTAACCAAAAGGACTTTCCTTTAGAGGATCAGCGGTTGTTTATCAAAAACCACGGTAAACAAATTGGCATACCTGGTGGGACGTTGCTAGTTTTTATCATCTATTTGTTCGTGTTATTGCTTTCCTTTTATAAGTATACAACGTTGCATGTTATTAAGAAGTGGTAGAATAACCAACGAGTGTACTGTTAGAAAGAGAAATAGCAAAAGTAGAATGGCTAATGAGCCAAATCATGGAGAAATACCTCCACCAAATACTACTGGAACAACGGTTATAACTACCGTTGGCGAAAATATCTCAACTTCTGTTGGTTCAGTACCAACGTTAACCACGAATCAAATAGGATCCTTACTTTCGTATGTGGGTCCTAGAGGTCCTTTAGGAACGCCCCCACCAAGGGCAAATCCAGAATCTCGACCGTACATTCCCCCAGGATTCTCGACAGCCTGGATGGGTCGAGAACAACCATATGGCATGTCAACCACTGAAATGGCTAGCCTTATGAACGTTGCGTCTACTTTTTCAGAACCTTTGGTGAGTGCATCATCACCATTACAAGGATCTGGAGCCAGTATGGCAAATTTGGGTAGAAACCAAATTTTAGGAGGACCATCACATGCAATACCAAGCCTCACAAATGCTTCTACAGCAATTTTGAGGCAACAGATGGACGAAAGCAACCATGATATGGTGCAAATGTTGACACAAACTTTAAGTACAATGCTGAACCCCTTAATTCAAAATACTACCCAGTCGAATCAACAAATGACAACGCAAATGACGCGCATGGCTGAATTCTTTGGGGTACCCCAAACTATTCGACAACCCCAAAGAATACCAATAAGAGTAAACCAAGGGGGTAATCGTGGAAGAAGATTTAACCGTTAATCAAAATCCACAGATCCCTAGAGTAGGAATAGAACAACCTAGGGTCGAAATACCTCGAAATCCCCACGAATCCCTAGAGAAATCGATCAAGGGGTGATTATGGTGAATAAGAACCAAAATGCTGATGAATTGATACAGCAAGTTAGACACCAAAATTATGGAACAAATAATAATCTGACTGCCATGATCGAAAGGATTATGATATAGAATGGGATGAACGTTGGTTTTCACAGACCAAACTTCACATCTCCATTGTCAAAATATATCTTGCAAACAAACTTACTCCTAGGGGAAAAGTCCCAAAGTTTACCAAATTTTCAGGGGATACGACAAAATCTACTGTCGAACATGTGGTGAGATATTTGATAGAAGCCGGGGAAATAGCCAACAACGAAAACCTTAGGATTAAATACTTTCCAAGTTCTCTAACAAAAAACGCTTTTACTTGGTTCACTACCCTCCCTGCCAATTCGATCCATAATTGGAATCAATTGGAAAAGATGTTCCATGAACAATTTTACATGGGACAGACCAAAATAAGCCTAAAAGAACTGGCTAGTGTGAAGAGGAGATTCACTGAGCCAAAAGATGAGTATCTAAATAGGTTTCGACTGCTTAAAGCCAAATGCTTTACCCAAGTGCCTGAACATGAATTGGTCGAAATGGCAGCAGGGGGCCTGGATTATTCCATTAGGAAAAAGTTAGATACCCAATACTTGAGAGACATGGCCTAGTTGGCCGATAGAGTTCAACAAGTAGAACGCCTTAAAGTCGAAAAGGCTAAGGCGACTAAAACTCATCGAAGAGAAAGAGTAGCCTATGTCGAAATGGATGATGACGATCCAGAGACATCTAGTGATCCTATAGATGTCGAAGAAGGCGAGATAGATTTAGCGGAATTAAAACAAGGGCCGCCATACTCTTGTAAATTGTCAGTGCCCTCAAATGGAAAAAATCCTGTAGAGTCTGAAAGGAACAGTGATAAATTCCCTAAGAAAACATATAGTTTTGACATCATTAAATGTGATGAAATATTTGATTTATTAGTCAAAGATGGCCAAATGATAGTGTCTCAGGGGCAAAAATGCCTCCTTTAGAACAAAGGAAGAAAAGAGATTTTTGTAAATATCACAATTTTCTGGGCCATAAAACCTCACAATGTTTTCTTTTCAGGGATCTTGTTCAAGGAGCACTCAAAGAGGGAAGACTTAAGTTCGCTGATAAGCCGACAATGAAAATTGATGCGAACCCGCTACAAAGGGATGTACATTATGCTGAACCAGTGGGCATCCATATGGTTGAAGTTTCTGAAGACTTCGTTAACAAGCCCGTATTTGGCAGTTTTACTGGAAACATATCTAGGAAAACTATCGAAGGGGTGAGGAAGGCCACTGAAAGCCTGAAACTGAACAAAGGAGCTGCTGAAGGCTCAAGCAAAAGGTTACTGAAGGCCCAAACACAAACAAAGGAGTTGCTGAAAGCTCCAGCAAGAGAACCATTACAAGTTCTTACTTGGTTGCCGTTAAAGGTTCGACAGATAACTTGGAGGCCAAGATGCAAAAACTGAACCTCGTTGCCAAAAGCAACATGGAGGTAAACATGGTCGAGGTATCTGAAGCCAAGGCTTCGGAAGAGGCCATTCGAAAGGAGGAAGTGAACAAAACAACATTTCCTAAAGAAAACGAGGATCTGGCAGAATTTTTACATCGATGCCAGAAGAAAAAGTCTGAAGTGATGCTGTGTCCCAGATGCAGTTCTATCTTCGACAAAAAAGCTGCGGAACACATACACGGTATGAGAGCAGTAAAGGCAAAATGGGGCACCAATGCTGAACCAAAAATGGATCCAGAAGATAGATACGATCCTAGGAGGGGACATCAAAGAGGACCCATAAATCAGGTAAGGAGGCCACCAACTTATCGGCCTCCAACTAATGTACTTGTAGGTACTTGGCTTAACACTATGGGCAGAAAAAGGCCCAATGAAGAAAAGTGGCGAACGTTCGACGTGCCAAGGGGCTCTTCTTTGGATTACATAAAAGAGTACCATGCCACTACATCAAATAAAATGACTCACATATCGAGCAACTACAAAGGGAAGAACCCCATGTCTCGTTCACAATGATGAAGATTCCAAAGACGGCGAAAGGCCGAGAAAGAGGCTGCAGCAGAGCCTCACCCAGAATCTAACACCAACGTGCAAAGAAAAGGAAAACAAAGAAAACCTCTAGAGAGGAAACCTCTGGTGTGGCCAGAACAATGTGGGTCGAATGACGAAGGAGACTCCGACTCTGATGATACTTTGGACATCATGGTAAACGTCATATCGGTGTTGTATAGGGAATACA